GGCATCATTGATGGCGTCAAGTGTGGCAGCAGTGGTGGGGTTGGCCCATGATCAGACATTGTTTCATTCTGCTGTGCATGGGGTCGCTATGAGTCGGTTCTGACTCGATGTCACCTGACAACAACAACAACAATGGGCTGACAAAAGCACCAATAGATCCATTTTGGAAGAAGTGCAGCCAGAGTGCTCTTGGAGTCCAAGATGGCCAAACTTCGTCTCTCATACTTGGGTTATATTGTCAGGAGGGACCAGCTGTTGGAGAAGGATATCATGTTTGGTAAGGTAGAGGGTCAGAGAAAAAGAGGACGACCCCCAATGAGCTGGATTGGCCAAGTGGCAACATCGATGGACTCAAGTGTGGCAACAGTAGTGAGGTTGGCCCAGGATTGGACACTGTTTTGTTCTGCTATACATAAGGTCGCTATGGATCGGTACCGGCTCTATGGCACCTAACAACAACAATGTCTATTTTTACATTAGTATTATACTGTTCAAGGAGCCCTATTAGCATAGTGGATTACAAGTTGGGCTGCTTAATTGCAAGATCAGCAGTTCAAATCTACCAGCCATGCCATACCATGGGAGAAAGGTGAAACTTTTTGCTCCTGTAAAGATTTAGAGCATTGGAAACCCTATACAGGGTTGCTATGAGTTGGAACTGACTCGACAGCACCTAACAACAGCAATATAACAACTGTGGCTTATGACATGAATTTATGAAAACTCTGTGTTTGAAAATGATTTAACTTGATTTGATGTAATATATTTATAGAAAATGAAATTCTACTGATTTGAATATAGTGTTATGCTATCTCATTTAATAACTGAATGAAAAGATTTACTTAAATCTATTTGTCTTACAGAGACCTATTAGTAAAAGTGAAATTCGGAGAGAGCATTGAGAATTTACAGACCTGCAAACTCTTAATTAAACAGTATATCCCTACAGGACTATTTGTGGATCCATATGAGTTGGCTTCATTACGAGAGAAAAACATAACAGAGGTATATTAACTATTAGATTTTTTTTGGAGAGAAACTTATATAGGATGCTATAATTTGGTTTAAGGTAAAATAGACAAGACATCATTGTAGTGACTATATTTTTCATTTTGTTAGAGTTAAAGAGACATTTTTAGAGCTATGATAGAAGACTTTGATGTTAGTCAGGAAAAAGCCAACTAAACTGAGCTAGTTAAATGCTTCATATGATTCAAATGCTTCATGATGATTCATACGTAGTGACTAAGAAAACTAAATAGATGTACAGCGCATCTATGTCTTGAGGAAATTAAAGATTAGTAAATAATGCTTTTAGCAGCAAGGATCTCAATATGGATTGAATAATTAATTTGTTCTACTTTTGATTTCCTGAGTCAGAACTGACTCGACGACACTTAATAACCAATGCTGTAGGATCAGCACTGGACTGTAAACCTCAAGGTCAGCAGTTGAAATCCACCAGCTGCTCCTTGGATCCCCTTTACAGGGTTTCTGTGAGTCGAAACCAACTCAGTGGTACTAAACAACAGCAACCTCAATCCTCTAATTCCTAATAATAATCCTTTTGAATGAAGTTACTGTTTTATTTTGGAAATTTTTAGAAAACTGGATGTTTCATTTATGGCCTGTAAATCATTGGAAGTTGATTAACTTGATATATCAGTTGCTATTTCCTGCTGCCTAATAGGGTTGACATTGTGATCCAGTTTCTTGTACAGAGAAACTGTCATAAAAAGTGGTATTATGTAATGACTTTGGGGAAAAAGAAATTTATATGTAAGGAATAGTTGATCCTTAAAATGCATGGATTTAGGCTTGACTGTGTTCCATGAATTTTATACATGACATGAAATATTTAGCTGTAGAAAATAGAATACTAGATCCAAATCAAATGAGTGGTGTTTATAAGATGTTATGATGGCAGGTGACGGGGGGAAGGTGGAGCACAGGGTAGGGAATAGACACAGGATAGTTTGAGTGCTGGGGAGGGGGGCAATATACAAGAAGGGGAGAGGAATGGAAGAACAAGGCGGGTGGGAAAATGATTAGGCAGGTTTGCATGGACTAAGTGGGATAGAGGTAAATACTGATGTATGCACAACCTTGGAACAACAGGGCTCTGGGATACAGGGATTGAGACATGGTTGGAATGCAGAAAAGGAGGGAAATAATGTTAAGATGCTTGGCTGTCTTTTGAATCTTGGTTTCCCTTGCACACCATTATAAAATAGATGCTTGAGGGAAAGAGAAAGGAATAGCCAGAAACATCACTATAGAAAGCTTGTAAGTCTGTCTTCTGCCTATAACTGATTGGAATACCTAAAATGGGGCTACAACGTGCCCAGTGAAGGAGGCTTCCTAGGGAGCCTCTGTATTACATAAGACCATAGGTAGAATCCTGAACCCCATCCAGAATCTTCTGAGGTGGGAAATCTCTACTTGAAAGGACAAACAGACAAGCTTGGAGCAGCTAGAAGAACAGAAGATACTTCTGTTCTGAAAGAAAGACCAACAGGAAAAATACAAAACATTAATGGCAGTCTGACTGACTACTACAAGAACAAGCAAGTTGCTCACTCAGGAGACATCAAGGCAAGTGGTTGGGTCCCCTCAGGGTAAACCCCCTTCCAAGAATAAGATTCAATAGGAATACACAAGTAGACACGCGTTCTGACTGGTGACCACGTTGATCACCGATAAGGAGAAATGAGGGAAAAGCAGCAATGAAGTAGCAAACTAAGCCCTACCATGTTCAGTAGACTTCTGTGAACCCGAGTAGAGACCTAGTTGGCCAGCAGTGTGGCAAGACCTGGGGACTCCTAGGCCCAGAGTCAGTGACATGGCCACAGAGGACTAGAGTGGAGGTGAAGCATCCAGCTGATAAGAAGAGAGGGCATATGCACAAGAACACCCACACTTGTAGATAATACCCACTTGACCTGACTTCAGTGGCTAGATGATTAGAATTCAACTAGAAGAAGAAAGAAGAGGAAAGTAGGAGTGGTCTGATACAATTTGATGAACTTGACCTACACCTATTGATGCAGTAGCTCAAAAGAGGGAACAAATCTTTACAGCGAGGATCATTCCCACACCCTTGATACACAGAGTAGACAGGGATGGACAACTTGGACATTGGCTACCCAAAATGGGTGGGGCTACAAGGGCAAGAAGTGACTGGCTTACAAGCTTTCAAGAGGGAGCCTAGATCCAGGAGGCATGGAGGAAGGTAGAATCTCCACAGAGTAGTATCCAATCTGTCTGGGTAGGGCTGACAAAAGGAGATGGGAATGGCACTCATGTGGCACAATAGTGAATGATTGCTATCAGGGCTGACTATGAGGGTTGAAAATGTAAAGGTAGACATTTTGTAGCAAAAGTAGTGGAGTGGTTGACTTTGTAGTCCAGGAGCCGAGGCCCCTAGGACCATCAGGGGAGAAGAGCAGAGTGCGGGATCCTACCCAGAGAAGCAGTGATGCCAGAGATGAAGGCAAAGATGATGACTTAGAGAGATGGAGCGGCTGGGGACTCTAGACCCAGAGAGGGAGAGGGGCTGAGTGCTGACAACCAGGGGGCAGGCTTTGGTTGGTTGATGATGCATGGAGGGGATTGTAACCATGGCAATGAAATAATATATATGATAGGATGAATGTAAAGCTAATGTTCTCTTATGTAAACTATCACATAATTCACAATAAAACATTAAAAAAAATAAAGTTATGATGGCTTGTGAGCAATTTGAAAATAAAGGCAAGCCTTAATATGTTCCAAGGATAAGCCATATCAAATGAACCTTATTTCATGCATTTTATCATTAAGTGCTGTTAAGTTGGTTCCAACTCTCAGGATTTCCAAGGAGAGGCTAGTGGTTTGAACCCCTGACCTTGAAGTTAGCACTACACCAGGACTCCCATTTCATGTTTACGTAGGATGATTGTTGTTATAGAGCTTTGGTGGCACAATGGTAAACTTCTCAGCTGCTAACTAAAGGTTAGTGGTTCAAACTTACCAGGTCTTCCATGGGAGAAAAGAAAACCCTATGAGGCAGTTCTATTCTGTTGTATATCTGGCAAGGGTTATAGATATGGCAAAATATCATAACTTACTCCATTATAACTGTGTACACTCATGTGCAGTTGAGCATTGTCCTGAAAAAGTATGTTAACCAGTGTGGTTGCTTTAGGATCAACTTTTGCTGCATAATTTCAATTTCTTAATGACATGCTAAGCAGCTTTTATTTTATCTGCAGTGAAAATGCAATAAGGAATTAGGATTTTTGCAGATCAAAACTTGGTGTTTTTGGCACGTGTTTGGGAGATTAGCCTACAACTAACCATTGTTCAGATCACTTTAATTGTCAGGTTATGATTCTCTCCAAAGGTGTTTCTTTGTTGTTTTAAATCTAAAATGTGCACACGTCCACTGTCTGAGTTTTTTATATCTTGTCAATTGGTGTGATGCATCCTATATTGTTTTTCCCCCTTCCTCATTGTAACTAAAGAACCTGGGGAGTACAATGATTACCTGCTCAGCTGCAAACTGAAAGATTGGAAGTTTGAACGCACCCAGTGATTCAGTGGGAGAAAGACCTAGCAATCTGCTCCCATAATGATTTCAGACTAGGAAAGCCCCACGGGGCAGTTGTACTATGTCACGTGGGGTCACTCAACAGCACCTAACAATAACATTTGTAACTAGGTTTCAAGAAACTCTTAAGTCTGCTCCAAGATATCACACATTGCTCTTTGTGGGCTAGCTGATGCTGGTTCTTAACTGATCTTGCTTTACAATGGATTCGGATCTTCTCTGGGGTTCATGTTTTAGAAAATTATTCTCATTTAAAAAAATGAGATATAATTCACAGATCAGAAAATATGCACAAAATTGTGTAACCATCACCAACAATCAGATTCCAATACATTTTTATCATTCCCAAAAGAAACACTTTTATTTTTTGAGATTCAGATTTTTCGAACCATCGCCAAATAATCCTTTTGCCAACAGAGCCCTCTCATAAAAGCAAATTGTTGTTTCTACCTTTGTCACCTTCATCGTTGTTGTTGTTAAGTGCTATGGAGTTGGTTCCAACTCATAGTCATCCTGTATAGAGTTTTCGTTGAGTGACTGGTGGGTTTGAGCTGCTGGCTTTGTGGTTAGTAGTCCAGAGCTTATCCTACAGAGCCATACCAGGATTCCCACCTTCATTATATTGTAGATTACATTAATATAAAAAAATTTTCTCAATATTTTCAAAGATCCTGTATTTTTTTTGTAGAAAAAATAAACAATAGCAAAAATAAGTCAGTAGAGAAATTGAAGATCACAGTGCCATCATAGATACTAAATATCACAACTAAAAATATTTTTTATGTCAGTTTTCCATATTGTACTGGAATAGATAGTACATTCCCTTCACCCCTCCATTCAAGTGTCTCTGGAACCTCAGAATATAACCATATTAGGATAGTTGCAGATGTAGTTGGTTAAGATGAGATCATTGTAGAGTAGGGTGGGCTATGACTGGTATCTTTATAAGAAGAAGCAAAAGGAGACACTGATTTATGGCATATAAAGATGGCATATAAAGACTGAGGCTGAGATTGGAGTTACGCTGCCACAAGCCAACGAATGCCCAGGCTACCAGAAGCTGAACAGTCAAAGAAGGATTTTTTTTTTTTTTTTTACCACTAATGGTTTTGGAGAGAGCATGGCGTGGCAATAACTTGAGTGCAGACTTCCAGCCTCAGAACTGTGAAAGACTGAATTTCTGTTTTAATCTATACAAGTTTGTGGTAATCTGTATGGCAGCCCTACAAAGTTAGTTAATGCTTTTAGTATGTTTAATTTTTAATTGGTCAAATATTGATATGTTGCTTAATCTAATTGAACAGTGAAGTCAGTTTGACTGAGCTCTGATTCTTGGGTCTACTACCTGCTAGCTGTGTTGTTTATCATTCTGATGCTTTGTTTGCTCATTTATATAATAAGGTTAATAGATCCTACTTGATAGGGTTGTTATGAAAAATTAAAGGAGATAATGTATATGAAGTACGAAACGCCTGACACACAATATTGTTGTTGTTAAGTGTCGTCTAGTCGGTTCCGACTCATAGCAACCCTGTGTAGGGCTTCTGAGAAGCGACTGGTAAACCTGAACCACAGATCTTACGGTTTTAATCTACCTTGCATTCAGCACATTAACCCACAGCACCACAGCAGAACACACAGTATGTTGTTGTTGTTGTTAAGTGCCGTTGAGTCGGTTCCGCCCCATAGTGAACCTGTATAGGGTTTCCAAGGAGTAGCTGGTGAACTTGAACCATCAACCTTGCAGTTCAAATGACTTTGCAGTCTGACTCATTAGCCCACAGTGTCACACCAGGACTCCTATACACACAGTATAGTAGCGCTCAAAGAAAGGCACCAATATACCTCTCTTCCACAGAGCAACTGGTGGGTTTGAACTGCCAACCTTTCAGTTAGTAGCCCAGTGCCTAACCCACAGCACCACCAGGGTTCCATATGTACATGTGTGTATCCTTATTGGCAAAGTAGAAAAATTTGGACTAGGTGTGATTTAAATTTATATCTAGTTGTACCCCCTACCAAAGATAGTTCATCGATAACTTTCTAGCAGGATATCTCTCTTAACAACATTTCCTGTCAACGTTTTTATCGCTAGATAAAAATACTGAAGACATGGCTGTTAAATTCATAATGACACATATCTGTTGGTTGACAAAATTAGGATTAAAAAAATCTCAACAGTTAGAAAAAGAACTATAACCAAAAAGATCAAGTTTATTTTAATCAAAATAAATCCAAAGTCCTGCATTTAGTTAATAAAAAATAAAAATTACTTGAAAAAACTATAATGGGAGCAATTTAAAGTTTTCTGCAAAAAGTTTTAAAGTGACAAACATAGCACACTGAGAGAAGGCTGCTAAAAGGCTAATGTAGTTTTTGGCTGAAGAAGATAATGGTGCTATTAAACTGTAGGCTTTCCAGTTGTGAGTATTTCAGAAGGCAGCTAATAGGATGAATGGTTTGGAAACTGTCATGAGAAACCTAAGGAACTGGAAGAGGAGAAAACTTAGAAAGCAGCATTGAGTGTTGCCTTCCAATGTTTGAAGTACCCTCAGGGAAACATTAATTGCAGATACTGTAAGTAGAAACAACTGGTGAATGCTATAGGCCAGGGAATCAAGATTCCATTTACCAGTAGGTAGAACCATATGACTCAAAGTAATCTCCCTTCCAGTCAGTATAAGAATTCAAACAGTGGCTCGATATTGGAAAAAAAAATACTCATTTGGCCATCTCCAAGGTCTCTTATGACTCTTAAAGATTATATAATTCCTTGATCTTTGCCAATGGTTTTTGTTACTGCTGTAATTAGCAGGGAAGAAACAACATACACATATATATATCTTTCAGCACTAGACTGCAAACCACAAGGTCGGCAGTTCAAACCCACCAGCTGCTTCTTGGAAGCCCTACACAGGGTCACTATGAGTTGGAACCAACTCAACAGCACTTAACAACAATTTGTTGTTGTTGTTAAGTCCCATCAACTTGGTTCCGACTCATAGCGATCCTGTATGGGGTTTCCGAGGAGCCAACTGTGAGTTTACAATTCAAATGACCGTTCAGTCCAGTGCGTTAACCTGCAACATATAAAGAAATAGCAGTTGGGCTCACTGTCAAATAGGAGAATTTGGCTGCATGCTGTGATGGGAAGGAGTAATTCTGGCTGTGTCTCTGGGATATGGCAGAGCCTTGCATAAGATATCTAAAGAGAAGTCGTGTATTTGTGTATGTCCATACATACAGTAGTGGGATTGGACCAGGATCGGGCAGTGTTTTGTTCTGCTGTGTATAAGGTCGCTGTGAGTCGGTACCAACTCAATGGCACCTAACAACAGCATACATACTTATAAACATCCATATAAAGCCTCTATATGCATATACACAGATACGTGTAAATATTTGCATGTGTATGTTATAATGTATATATAAGTATATATCACATTACAATTCAGGCTATTTTTGGCTATATGTGCATTTTCACTTTGGGTGGTGGTGGTAGTTATGTGCTGTAGAGAACCGTTATTTTTATTAAAGCATCTTGTACCATTTTTTCCATTAACTTTGTACCTGGTATTGAAAGAGTGCTGATCTATAGGCTTTGCTTTGACTTCCTGACCACAGTGCTCCTTGTCTTACTCATTACCATCTTACTTGCTTCTGTGAAGAACAGGAAATTACCAGAATGATACCAATCATTTTAACCCAATGTAGTAGTTTTTATACTTATTGAATAATTCCAAATTTAGTCACAAAATTTCTTTTCTTAGGACTGGTTTTGTCATCTAAACAAGTGCATAAGGATATTACACAGGAATAACTTTTACTATGGAGAAATTCAGGAGTCTTGGTGGCACAGTTGATAAAGTTCTCAACTGCCTACCAACCTCTCTGCAGAAAAAAGATTTGGCAGTCTGCTTCTGGAAAGATCTACAGCTTTGGAAACTCAATGGGACGGTTCTGCTCCGCCCTGTCATAGGGTCGCTAAATGACAGTTGGTTTATGGAGACATTTGGCACCCAAGAGTATAATTCTCCATTTTACTTTCAGTCAATAAACTTTTATTAAATGCAGATCACGTCTTGTGTTTTCTACTCAAAACTGGAAAGGAAACTACGTACAGGAGGGGTAAATTGGATACTTTATTTGTGAGGCATTCTTCTGTTTTCTGTTTTTTTAAAAACCAAATTCATTTCTTTTAGATTAATATTTGTTTTCTTTTTGACAGGCAGTGATGGTTTCAGAAAACTTTAATATAGAAGCGCCTAATTATTTATCCAAGGAATCGGAGATTCTCATCTATGCCAGACAAGATTCACAGTGCATTGATTGTTTTCGAGCATTTTTGCCTGTGCACTACCGCTATCATCGGCCACATAGTAAAGAGGGAGAAACATTTATTGTGGTCAATAACCCAGATTTATTGATGTACTGTGACCAAGGTGAGGGTTGAAAATAAAAATAACAGGTATAGTGGCAAGTCTGTAGAAAAGACAAAAGTAATGTTTGTTTAGAAAATTTTTTTGTTTTGTTTTTACAAAATGAAACATAGATGTAGAAAAATCTACAAGTAAAATATAGCTTAGTGAATTATTATATGGCAAATACTGCTACCCAGGTCAGGAGATAGAACTTTGCCAGCCACCCTAGCAGTAGTTCTGTGGGCCCTGTCCCAATCACAGCAGTTCAATGGGCTCTGTCCCTCCTTCTAAAACTAACCCTTGTCCGCTTAAAAAAATGTTATCTCCATTACATCTCTTAATTTACAGGTTTACCTTCTATTCCTTTCTTTTCTTTAACATTTGTTTTTTGAAGAACATGGCCTTTTGACCTGTAAAATTTCTTGTAGTTAGGGTTTTGTTGACCAGTTCAGCATGCTCCTCTGTTGTCTTTACTTCCTGGAAATTGGCAGCTGGCTTCCATTGGCAAGACTATCGGGTGGTTCTGTGTTGTTTTATCAGGAGATGTATGGTGTCTGACTGTGTCTCTTTTTATGATGTTAGCACCCTTTGATTCTCGTTACCTAGATCCATTCATCCACTGAGGGTTGTCAAATAGTAATTTTTCCCTTATGTTTCCTTCATCTACTGTTGTTGTGTGCCTTCAACTAGGTTTCCAATTCATAGCAACCTACCATAGCATTTCCAAGATTGTGAATCTTTATAGACACAGACTGCTCTCTTTCTCTTGCAGAGTGGCTGGTGGGTTTGAACTACCAACCTTTTGGTTAGCAGTCAAGTGCTTAACCATTATGCCACCAGGGCTCTTTTCCTCATCTGCTATTTGGTACTAATATCATATGGGAAAGATAACAGAGGTACCTGACTCTTCCCCTTTATTTATTGGCTTTTCAGATCATGAATCAAAGTCACTATGAGTTGGAACTGACTCAACAGCACATAGCAACAACAAGATAATGAATTTGTTTTCTGTCATCCTCAGAAGGTGATTAATCAGTTTTTAAAATATTAATAAATGAATTTTAACATATTTGAAAGGAGACTGGTGGCTCATTGGTTAAACAATGAGCTGCAAACTGGGAGGTTGACAGTTCGCACCTTTGGCTCTGCTGGAGAAAAGATGGCGCAATCTGTATAGAAAACCCTATGAGGCAGTTCTACTCTGTCTTAGAGGGTCACTATGAGTCAGAATTGACTTGACAGCATACAGCAATAAAACAACATGTTAGAATTTTAGTCAGTTGTATTTTTTATCATTGTTGAAATTCAAAGCATCCTGTTTTTAGACAGTAGAAGCCTCTTTCGGTTGACTCCTAATTCCTTTTAAGATGACCCTTCTAGATTTTCATAGCTTACTTCCTATCTAGGATGACCCATTTTATTCCAGGCCCATTTTGTACATTTTTTGCCTTTGACCTGGAACCAGCCATTTCACTATGAACACCTAGTTTCTTTTAGTGAAATATTGGTGGTAAGACTGTTAATTTAAAATTACTCCTGGGTTGGTCATTTTTTCTAGACTTTTTCAGAGAACAAATATATACATACGTATTCACATATGTATACACATTGTTGTTGTTAAGTGCCATTGAGTCGATACTGACTCATAGCATCCTTGTATAGAGTTTCCAAGGCTTTAAATTCTTGCAGGAGCAGAAAACTTCATTTTTTTCTCCGGAAGAGAAGCTAGTGGGCTTGAACCACCAACCTTGTGGTTTGCAGTCCAGTGCTTATCATATAGAGCCACCATGCTCCCTGTACACACATTTGTTGCTGTTGTTAAGTGCCATAGAGTTGGTTCTAACTCGTAGCAACCCTGTTTAGGGTTTCTGAGGAGTGACTGGTGAGTTTGAACCACTGACCTGCACTTCAAACCGACCTTGCAATCCAGCACATTAACCCGCAGCACCACATACATCACCAATAATTACTGAAGATAATTAGACACTTTTTTCTTTATCTTCTTGCTTCATTTCTTAACGATTTTACTATATCCTCTACATTTTCAGAGGATATAATTATTATATTTTATATCCTTGGCTTACATTTTTTTTCCCTTGAGTTTCTTCATCATGTTCCTCCAATTTCATTTAACCTGACGCCAGGGCTAGTAAACGACAGCCTCGGGATGCAATCTGGTCTACTATAGTTTTATTGGAACAGAACCACACCTGTTGGATTACACAGTCACCAGCTGCTTTTGCATTGGCTGAGTTGAGTACCTAGGTACAACAAAGACCATATGGCCGCAAAGTCTGAAATGTTTTCTATCTGGCCCTTTAAAAAATAATTTGCCAACTCCTGGCCTAAAGTGTGATGATGATCTAACTATTTTGTCCTTATAAAGCTGCATGTTATTTTTGTCTAGGTGTTCTTTTATATCTATATCCTTTTCTTTAAGTCTGTTTGCCCATTTTGAAATAGTGATCATTTTTATCTGTTTTATGGGCATTTCTTTCTGGTGATCTCTTTGTTGTCTGAAGAGATGTTGTTCAGTTTTGTATTCCATTTTCCACTTTTATGTGAACCTTCTCTCTTTCATTTTAATTAACCCTGCTCGCCTCAGTTTTGAATACACTCTTGTCACTTTCTCTTCACTATACTGTGAATCCCACAAGCTCATCTGTTGTTGAAGTGGGCAAAGCCCCTACAAATTTCATTGCTTTCCTCAGTTTGAATCCCTGTGCTTTCTAGTAATACCTGTTAGCTAATTGGGGTTCTCTTATTTTCAGGTGCTTCAGTTGCCCCTTTGTTTCTCTTTTTTGTTTCTGCACAGATGCTGGTGTTACAGGATTTGTGGCTTTTGCTGTTTTCTTTCCACTTGCAAGTATTTGGGGATTTGAGGGAATACTGTTACACCTAATTCTCTTATAAACGTTGTCCGTGAATTTTGGGATTTGCTCTTTAATTGTTATTTTAGTTTTTATGTGAAGATTTTGATACGTTAAGAAAAACTATGCTTTCACTCATCTTTAGTTTTTCTATAGTCAAGTCTTTTTCTTTAACTTAAGCCCTTTTCAGATTTTGTCTCTTTGTGGCTCTAAATTTGGGCTGACACAGAATATTATCAAAGGTCAGTAGCACTTTTCTAAGGACTGAAAGAAAGGTTTTAATCATACATTTGTTACCATCATCTGTTTCATTATAAGATAATGAAAATTCGTACAACTCTACTAGCTTTTCATGCAGTCTACTTTTCTGTCATGGATGGTATCTTTTACTTGCCCTAAATACATTTTCTAAAGGGTGCCCCCTCATGAGTGAACTTGTAGGATTCTGATATTATTCTGTTTCTTGATCTGAGTACTCTTTTTGTGGGTGTTTACTACGTGAAAATATATCCAGAAGTATGATCCAACTGCTGTGCAACCTTAATAATGCTATAATTTCTTAGCCATTCACATTTAACAAGCTGCTAAAATAAAATAGCATGTGAAAAGTACCTCCAAATGATACACAAGGGAGCCTCAAGAAGTTAGTGGGAAAATTCCATTATAGTTTCATTATATTTTTCCACAAACATATGAAGCCCCCTTGTATAGACTGTATTAAAATATGTGAATACTTATATTCTAACATGAAAGACTTATGTTCAATACAAGTCCGGCTTCTAACCCAAATGCAGGTATTAGAACATTGTATTCTATCAATTTTTTTTTTTTTTTCCAGAGTTCCCAGTTTTGAAATGCTGGGCTCAGTCAGAAGTGGCAGCTCCTTGTTCTTTGAAGAATAATGATATCTGCCAATGGAAAAACATGAAGTATAAATCAGTAAGCTAATATTTTATTATTTTTGGATTATGCTACCTCACCTAATGCTTTCTGTAATGTGTCTCCCACATTTAAGGGATTAATAAGCATTTTATATTATACCATCGAAAACTGGGAGTGGTTTTGTTTGCTTTTAATGTAATTCTTTCGTTACTATTGGCAGCAGTGGTTCCTGACTTAAATAGAGTCATTAAATCAATTAATTTTGGGACTAGAGTCTGAGGATTAGTCTCATGCCTTATTAGTCCAGAGCTGAGGTACAATTACAGTGCTTTTCATTTTCTTCTTCTAAATGTTGTTTATTTTGGTGGTTGCCAAATGGTGATTTTGGTGGTTCAGAGTACACATAACAAAATGTACAGCCGTTCACCTGTGTGTAATTTAGGGACACTGATTACTACATTTCTCGAGTTGTACAACCCTTCGCACCCTCTGTTTCCATCATTCCTACCCCGTTAACATAGACTCACTA